AAAGGAGTATAATAGTAATTATATCGCTTTATTAGAGAAGCTAGATAATTTATAATAAATAATTAAATTTAAATATCTTCGCTTTAAAGCTATAGTTTTTATATAAGATAAGAATTTAAAGAGATAATATATTTTTATAATAAATATAAGCGTAGACTCTCTTATAAAAGATTCTTTAGCGAAGCTAGTTAATCTATCTCTAAACGAATATATAATTTATTATTTCGAGATAATATTATAGATAATAATTATTAATATATAAGAAAGAATATATTTAATACTTATTATATAATATAATAATAATATATTTAGAGAAGTCGATATAGAAGATATTCTTAGAATAGATTTTTAGAAACTTATTTATAAGATAGAAATTATTTAAATATTAGATTAGATATTATAAATAGAGAAGTAATATAATAACTCTATCTAGATATAAAAATTAAAAATATAAAAGATATAGATAATTAATCTAGTAACTATAGTAATTAAAATATAATTATAATATAATAATAATTTTCTAGAAGAGAATATATTTTATAGACATCGCTATTTAATATTATAATAGTTATAAAATATAAAAATAATTACTTTAAGAAAGATATTTAAGATATTATTTTTTAAGCGACTTTATAAAAGCTAATTAATTAATTAATACTTAATAAAAGATAATAAAACGAATAATACGAGTAAGAAACTTCGATAAAAGCGAGATAAGATAGAATTAAGAAAATATAATTTAAAGATAATTCCTTTAATTAGCACTATTTCTTCTCTTCTCTTTTCTCTATATCTTTATATATATTAGATATATAAGTTACTCTAGATAGTATATTATATATAAAAACCGGATATAATCGAAAGGCCGAGTGGGGAAAAACAGTCTCACTCTTACCTATATGGCTAGAGGGGCGTCTCTCCGATGTAGGAATCACACACACACACACACACACTGGGAAGCCCGCGCCCCAGCACATATTAACTATATTACCCATAGCTATATTTGCCCATAGCTATATGGCTATAGCCCCCAGCCACATTGTGGCTAATGGCCATAAGCCGTCAAAACCAACAGGATGCCACTTCCACTTCGAGGCTCTCACTCTTCTTCAGTTCTCCTACAGCAAATAAGCCTTCCAACAATGGGAAACGATGGGTATACAGCCTTGGTGTTCGGAGCCTCAGGGATCTCAGGCTGGGCTGTCAGCATCGTGGCCGCTCGCAGCATTGGGTGTGGGCTGCTAACAGAGTAGTAGATCATGCGCCAGTGCCTAGGCCATACTTCCTCCGATTCGTCCAACACCTTCTCTCGGGTCATCGGTCTGACGAATCGACCGTTGAGTAAGGAAGCCTCTCTGCTGAACGCGGAAAATAAGACATGGGAGCTACACAGTGGCATAGACCTTGAGGAAGACGTGGATGCTGTAGCCGAGAAACTCAAAGTGATTCAGGACATCAATCAAGTCACCCATGTGTACTTCACTTGTCAGCCAGCCCAGTAGCGTGCTCTCCAGATGGCAGGGTTAAGCTGACACCCAGTGCTTAACAGCGTACACCGCCCACGGCAGCGACTACCACACCCTCAAACGTGCCAACGTTGCCATCCTTTCCAACGCCCTCCGGGCGGTGGAAAAGACATGCCCTAGCCTTGTATTTTGGACCCTCCAGACCGGCGGGAAGGCATACGGTGTAGAGTTCTTGGACAAGGGCATCAAGTACGAACCCCCTCTGAAAGAATCTGCGCCCCGCATCCCTGAACCGTGGGCCTCCAATGTCTTCTACTACGCTCAATATGATACCATGAAGCGATTGAGTGAGGACAAGAAGTGGACATTCTGTGAGATCAGACCGGATGCGATTATCGGGTTCGTGCCGCAGAACAATGCTATGAACCTAGCGCACGCGATTGGGCTTTGGTTAGCTATGGTCAGGAGTCTTGAAGGGACGGGAACGGAGGTGGTCTTTCCAGGGGACGAGAAGGCATTCAAGGCGCTGCATACGGATACATCGCAGGACGTACTTGCGCAATTCCACATCCACGCCTCCCTTCATCCTGAGGCCGTTTCGAGAAAGGCATTCAACATCGCGGACGGGGAAGTTGTGACATGGGAACAAGTCTGGCCTAGTATTTGCCACTGGTTTGGCCTGAAAGGCGTTGGACCGGATCCTTCAAAGAAGACTGGGGCGGAGTGGGTGCAAGACCGAAAGGGACAATGGGGGAAGTGGGTCAAGGAGAACGGGCTGAAGGCGGGAGCGCTGGAAGCTACGAGTTGGGATTTCATGTCGGCGATCATGGGTGCGATCACGTTTGATCGGCAGTATGATTTGAGTGCTTGTCGGGAAGTGGGCTTTCAGGAGAAGATGGAGACTGTTGAAGGGTACACTAGAGCATTTGAGAGGATGAGGGTGGCGAAGATCATACCTTCGGAATGAGACGTTTGCCTACCCTTCCTGCAGCAAAAGATGACGAGGGGAAGGGTGGACTGGGTAATGATACGATATCCAGACGTATCTACGTGAAGATATGGAATTAGTCAGGCGCTAACTTATTTCGCAAGTCTTCCTTCAAGGAAACGTCTCAGAAACGCTGTCAATATGCAAGTTACCTACGGTGAGGATCAACCTGGTGGCCTCAAGTGGTACGCCTCGTTGAAGCTCCGTCAGACACATCTTGGCGGACTGCTCGGTGATCCGCTTTCCTTCATCGCAACCCTTCCTCACCTACATTTTTTTTCCAGCTGTACCTCCTCTTTCCTCCCTCTCACTCTCATCACTCGTATCCACGTCCTTCTTCTGCCCCAGCTCATCATCGTCTTTACCCCGAACCTCAAGATCCTGCCCATCGTCATCTCCACCCCCCACCTCAAGATGCACTGCATCCCCGTGCACAATCCCCAAACCCGTCATCCTCGAAAGATTCGGCAACGGTCTTGCTGGCCTTGTCCTTTGCAAATCGATCTTCATGGCTCCGTCTGCAGGAGTGCCGCTACTCCAATGCTGTCGTTGGAAGAGAGGAGCTCGGGCCTTTGAGCAATGTAGTCGAGAGGCTTTGGATGTAAAAGTCATGTGGGACTCGGTGCGTATGCCAAGACTCATCCTCCTCGTGCATTGACTTGGTATGAGATAATCAGAGGCCTTTCACCGATGGGCGGAGTCCAAGCTTCGCTGTGCCTTGACGCAACTTTCTATTGGATCGTTATCCTTGACCTCCTTGAGTTAAGAGATATTCTGACCCAATACCGTGGATCACATGGAATGTGAAGGTACAAAATCGCATTATTTTTTTGAAAATTTTCCCTCTCACCTCCGAGTCTCCATCGTCAAACCTGATATGCGAATTCACATTATCTCGAAACCTTAACGCTTAAGAAACACACAAACCTCTGTGTATCGCCACGGTGAAACATCTTGCTTCTTCAAAGCTACATCCTACCATGGCAACTCAAGATACTTTCTCAGCAAAACGAAGACGTTGTCCAGCCAACTCTGATCGCCAGGCTTTTCCAGTCGCAAGCTATGTCATGGACGCATCGACAAAGTGTCCGCTTCATGGAGTTACCAACGGAGACCGCCAGTCTCTTCCAAGCGCCACTATTGTGAATGAAGCATCACCAATCCGAGAGAATGTTCATTTCAGTGCCAGTATCGTCATTAGTTGCATCATCTTTATGCAAATCTTCCTCATCAGCCTACGTTGGTTCCCGCTTGATATCGACTTCGGACAAGACTTCATTCTCCTTCGCTGGAATCCTCGTTGGCTTGCTGGGAATTTTTCGGTTCCGCTCATGTTATGGCTAGCAACCTTTTTGGCCCGTCGCGGATCCGCCTCGCTTATAGCTGAAGGTGCTCGCATGTGGGTCCAGAGAAGTTCCAACACCGTTCTGGTTCACATCATGGGCTGCGTTTCTGCATCGGCTCTTACCGTGCACGTTGTAAAGATTTACTTCCATGTCATTTTCATGAAAGTATGGCCCAACTTGCCCGTCTATGGATCCGGAAGCGAGGACTCGGAACTGTGGTGGGCTGCAGGGGTGGCTGTCGTGGCGGTACTGTTTCTGTTTGCCATGACGCCAGTGATACTGACGTGGATCCCGGTCATGGTTATTTCACAGGGGCTTCCGCAAGTTGAGTCGCCCTTGAAGAGAAGGGATTCCGGCCACGGAGTCTAAAAAATAGCTCGGTATATCCACGGACTGATCGACGACTGGACGCTTTCTTTGAGGAAACCCTCTACGCCACCATCGGCCTTACTGTGCATCTTCTCAGGGGCGACCGGAAATACCCGCCACTCTGCCACCTCGCTTTCTCCGCTCACCTGACTTGGCTTGCTACTACTTCATCATACTGCTTCGCGCTCTGGCTAGCAACCTTTTTCGACCACGCTGAGACCGTCGCAGAGCTGAGGCCGGATGTCGCTTCCGCGTTGGCAAAGAGCGAGTCAAGGCGCAACTTTATTGACAAGACTGGCACGACCGCGTTATACACACTCATCTTTGACTTGATCATCACTGTTGCATGGGTCATCAAGTATTTTCATGAGCTAATGCTGGGAAATGAGACTCGAATTTATGCTTCCGTACTGAAATGGGTGGGGTTTTGGATCGTCTACCTTGTTGCTGTGTGCCTTGGGGTGGTGGTTGTTTGTGGTTTGACTGTGCCACTCGATGGGTTCTGCGAGTGGATGAAGAAGCTCCCGCAGGAACCGCCCGTGAATACAGGCCGTAAATTTTCGATGGCCGATTCGAAGGCTGGAAAGCCAGGGAGCGCCTCCATCATCAGTAACGATACAGACCTTCGAATTTGAAGTAGGCACGCCATCAAATGCCAGCATCAGATCACCAGTCAACCAAACCGCTTTTTATCCCACCAAATCGCTAAATGCCAGATATGCTCGCTCGCTCTTCCAGCGGCCGCCCGGGACGTGGAGCAGAAAGATTTGTAAAATCTTAGTGAGAGCCATTCGAGCCCTCACTCGTATCCACCTCTTTTGCCTCGATCCATCATAAGGGAGGGCCGGGACCTGCCTGATGACACAGCTGTGGGAATTTGAAGCAGTCGAGAGTATTCTTTGCGGTAACGTAACAAGTGCTATTTAGATTCCCGTCCTCCTTTATCAATTTGTTGAATTCAGTCGTGGTAGGATCTCCGGCAAAGTCCCGGAAATACGTCGTCTTCCCGTTGATTGTGACATTGGCATCCTCCGACATGCAAGTACAGGGTTGTGTTTGCGAAGGCCACCCCGGCAACTGACCGTCGGGGAAAGGACCAGCAACGCTATTCGGCACCACGCCCAGGTCGTAAAGCCGACACACGGGTAAGTTGTACATGCCCGCGCTTGTAGGAACTAAGTTGAGATATTGTTCGATGTTGTTCAGGTTCTCTGCGGTGGGATCGAGGAGTTTGGCGACAAAGGAATCCGTGGCGTTGTAGCTTGAACGCAGAAGTCAGACGTTAGCGAAGAGTATGGTGGCGCAGAAGGAAATGTATTGCTCACTTGAACCCGTATTGGAGGAAGCCGTTTACAGACGATGTGATCATGTCATGCGCGCTGTAGGTGTACCCATTGTAGGTCATGTTTGCAACTTCGTAAAAAGAAGGCTTTTCTATCGAGCTACCGCCATTCGTTAGTACAGCCATCCCGCCGCTTTCGCAGTTGACTACAACACTGCTATTCCAACCGGCCCCCGACCACCGGTCCGTGCCCCCAACCCATTGACTGTTGCAATCGTCTTCCGTGAAACTTTCCATCGAATTATCGCTGTTGAGTCCTGAGACCTGGCCGTAGGGTATGTAGACTATGTAGGCATTGTTCGACTTGAACCAATTGTTGATGAGATTGGCAACAAGCAAATTTTCGAACCAGTTTGTGACTGCATTTGTGGGGCCCGACTTGGTGTTCTCGTGGTTAGTGCTGTTGAGATCCACTGCTGCAAGGACTTGTGCCGAAGTGACATAGGCACCGCCTGTCATGAGCTGCTTCGCGTTTGTCTTAGACGTGCCATTGCCATACGTGCCATTGTACCAAATTTTATTGTGCATTGTGTTGACATTGTCTTGAAGCGTTTCTATCCAGCCTTGCGAAAAGCCGAGATCCGTGTAGATACTAGATTCATCAGTCAGGTCTTAAACATCATGAGAAAGCTTACGTCTGAAGCGTTACCTCCGCTTGCTCGGAGGAAGATACGAAGTCGTCAACATCAGCAGCCAATCCGACAGAGGCGGAAAGACCGATTAAAGCCCCTACGAGTTCCTAGACACGCACTTTCAGCCTTTTTGCAACTTTGCGATAGGACCGGCGGAGGCTTACAGGGAGACTTTCCGTGGCAATAAAAACAATGGCCAGAAGAGTTAAAATCGTGTTCAATATGGGAAGCACTTTCGACCACAGGCTTGCACCAGAGAGTTCCACCTCAAATTTTGAACCTATTTCTCCGGCGAAGTAGTCCATATCCTGTTCTGCCCATTCCAGTGCTTGCCATATCATGTTCATCAGCTTGCTGAAATTCGTCATTGCTGCCCAGATGTAATATGCTTGAGTCTTGTACGGAGTGAGCCAGTTTTCAGGACCAGTTGCGATAAGTGAGCATCCTTGTAACATTGCACAATCTGCCTCATTAGTTGCAGTACAAACGTATACTTCGCCGTCACCGGCTTCCCCACCAGCAAAATCCTGAAAGAACGTTCTCATTAGGCCCAATTCTTGCCAATGGGATGTATTATCGAAGTACATCTCGAAAAAGTCATCGACCTTCTGCACCTCCCATTGCTCAGGTGTAAGAGGAGGAATGTAATTAGCTGTGCACGGAACGGGGGTAACTATAGGTCCGGTACATGGAAGTGTCGCAGACACGGTAAGTGTAAAGGAACCGGAAGCTCCTGAATTCACGGCACAAGAGGCGCTGGACGAGGACGTTGCCGCGATGGCTCTTTTCAATTTGGAATGTATCACCAACCGGCCATGTACTTCAACGATCGAGGCAGCACTCTCGGTAGGCACGTACGGTATCACAGGGCTTCCCGGACATTGACTTGAGGGAATAGTTGAGTAATCGCAATTGGGCATGACCAAAGATCCCATCCACGATGTTACAAGTGGCGCTGGCGATCCACTGCAGTAGCAATAGGCCCAATCTGCATCGAGGCATTGATCATCAAAACCCTTCGGTACTAGCACACATTGAGGTGTACCTGGGCACCCTGGGCTTCCGGTTGCGGAAGCAGATAATGAAGCAGAGGGACTGAGCATAGAACCTAGTTCAATTGCAAGACTCGATGAAGATGTTGTTTGGGCCCTTTGGTTAGTTGCCGGAGCGCAGGCAGGCGCATTGGCCGCACCCGTTATCACTCCACCAACTACTACGGCATTAGTCTAGCACAACGAAATTGGGTTCGGGATAAGTACGCCAGCTTCCGTCACTTGGAACCGTAAATGTATAGGAGCCATCGGCATTCTGTACGATGTATTTGCCAATGTGCTGGCCATCGTCACCCCAAGTATCACCATCCAAAACGATACCCGGACTGACAGTAAAGCTCCATTGCTGACCTAGTTGGCCCATACCATACAGACCGGGATCGATATCAAAGGACCCTGTAGGCATTACCATCTGCGACGAATAGGTGAAAGTGCTCGCGGTGCAGATTTCCGGAGATGTTACCGAGATCGAAAACGGGCCATTATCGCCGGCGACTTTGGATGCTATCAGCAAGGTAGAGAGCAAGCACGGGCTTGAATCTATAAGGTAGTAGCGACGCATCTTGTCAAAGAACGCAGTGATTGACGACTGAGCACCCAAATGAAGGAGAGTGAGTAAATTGACTGAAGAGAATGAAAGACGGTGACATTTGCGAAGGGTATTTAAGATGCTTTAAAGTAGTTCTTGAAAGTTTGTGGGGAAATGGGGCCTTTCCGCTATAGAGGGACACAGTGCTCTAGGGCAGATTCCCCGGATTTACGTGCACGATGCTACGTGTAAGGTGATCAGCAGTTATACAAGAGTGCCCGTGGGGCCGAAACATCTATTTCCTGGGCACAGAAGAATCCAACATTCGATGTCGGTTATGATACCTCCAGTCTAAAATTATTTGGTTGGTATATCCGTGCCGGATAACCAAGAGGATGTATCGATTGCTCGGCCGCACGAGTACACATCTGTTTTTCAGTAATTGAAGTATTCGGCGTGAGCATCCAGAAAAGGCATGGGAGCACGTCATGTAGATCTCTATCGTGAATATTTCCTGTTGCGAGACGATTGCACCATCCGGTTCCTAAATTGATGTGTTACCGTAATTGGACTCCGCAATCCATTTTTGACATACATATTATGAGCTAACCCGGTCCTGTTGCCACTGTTGCTACCAACTCAGCACATAGACTTGAAACAAGCGTGAGCTTTGTTCGGGTGGGTTTAAGCTCCTAGGACCCTTCCGTATCCGGCGCGATTATTGAACACGAACGACGTTCGGCAAGACCAGCGCCGAGCGTACATAGCCATCAGACACTTGCCAGTACCTTGATAAGACGCATGTATTGCCAGCGTTCCGGCCCCTGGTCTCCGGAGTGATGAAGGGGAAAGGTGAGCATTGGCCATAGCATGAAGTTGAGAATTCCTTTGTCCGTTGTGACTAAGAGCCAACAGGATAATAACATTTCGATGACGGCGCATGCGGCGTGGATGGTGGGGAAGGATTGTTTTCGTCTTTTACTTGGGCCAGGCCTTCATCTTGCTATGAGTTGGCCAGGACCCTTCAACGGCCCGAGCCGAGCAATGACGGTGCTGGTTGTTGGACTTATTGCAGTCAAGCAGTATGGGCACGATGGGTAGAGGCACAATAGTGAGCAGTTGATTAAGCAGACTCGATAACTTGGCATTGAATATGTAGCTACTAGCTAGGTATCTGGATGGTGTATGAATTGCGATTGGAGTTCTGCTGAGGTGATGAGACTAGCCTTATTAGAGTATGAGGTTTAGTGCAATCTCGGGTCAATGTCGGTGCTATATGAACCGTGTATCAGCAGGTATCAACAACAACGGCAAAAACCAAGCTATCGAGACGAAATGGACCTGATGCTTCATTAGTGGTAAGGCATATCGCGAGGCTGCCTACTACCCTCTCGTACTTCCTTGCTGAACAATTGAACTCTTGGAGTAAAAAGAGATTTGTGGATGGAATCTCGCCTGCTAGCAGTGTTTCAAATATCGACCGCTTGACTTCAAGTGCTAAATTAGCCGACATCTGCCAAGTCTCATCCGGCCCAGCAAAGGTGGCAAAGGCAACGCTGTGTACATGATTGAGAGCATTCAGCTGTGGGAGCTGTGTTTGGGTCACGAGGTCTAGCAGTTGATTCAAAAAGGGAAGCAAGCAGGGTCGAAAGCGACGAGTGGAACCATGATTATGTTATACCTACCGTACTCACAGTTTCCCTCGCTTTTTTGACTTGAGACGGAACCTAGCGCACATTAGCGCTGAAGTATCGGTCGTCACTATCGATCACGGTCGGAAACAAAACAATAATACTAGGGACTTTCAGACCTAGGAGTTTTCAAGCTTCTGCATACACTGTCTTAACTGTGTTACGCTAAGAAGATACTTTCGGGCCTCTAGATCGCCGTTAGTGTTATTCAATATTTAGCGTAAGCACGCTCAGATAGCTAATTCAGCTTTTAGCACGCTCAGACACACTCGAGAGCTTACATTAGCAATTCAGTTAAGACACACTAAAATCGGATTACGCTAATAACGAAACTACGAAAAAAAAAAAAAAAATTTTTTTTTTTTTTTTTTTTAAAAAAATTTTTTTTAAAAAATTTTTTTTTTTTTTTTTTTTTTTTTTTTTTTTTTTTTTTTTTTTTTTTTTTTTTTTTTTTTTTTTTTTTTTTAAAAAAAATTAAAAGTTTTGTTTTATATGTTAGTGTGCTTAACAGACTAAGACACATCGTTATTCGAGAGAACAAAATCTCAGAAATTACGATCTAAAGACCCGAAAAGGGTTTCAGACTAGGAGTCAACCACAATTTGACCACCGAACACGCATTAGCGTTTTCCCTATATATTCGCGTAAGGACCCTACGATTTTCAATAGATTTATATAGCATAAGGCCTAGTAAGCAAGCTCCCGAGAATAGGGCCTAAAAAACCCTATTTACCCGCCACGCAGTTAGTAATTACTCTATAGTCTATTATACCGAATTAGCCAGAAGTAGATCACAAGAACCCTTTTAGATATCTTAGGCATGCTTCAAGAATAAAAGAAACGAAGACCTTATTCTTCGGGAGGCTATAAAGAATAACGGACTACGTATTACGAATAAGTATTCTAAAGTCTAATTAAAGCTTAGTTATTCTTCTTTCTTATTTAATAAGAGATTCCGAAGCTTTACTCGAATAAATAGATCCAGCTTCGAAAGACCTCGCCCGATTAAGAAGATACCTTAAATAACCATACGTCCCCGACACCTACTAAAATCAGCTACTTAGATCTTATTTAGACTATTATAAAGGAAATAAAATAGCTACTAAAGCAGCTAAAAGAAATCTAAAAAAATATATAAACTACATTAAACGCGTGATTATCGCCCTCTATAGATATTTAAATATAGTTATTCGATAGTTAGATATTAGAAAGAGACGCTTAGAAAGTATATATAACGATAAATAAGAGGGCTTTATTAAGGCTGTAGAGAAGGTAAATAAAACTAATATTATTTTGAAATATAAGTTTAAAGGGAAATATAATAGCGAGGTCTTTTGAAATAGAAAGAAGAGATATGCGCAAATCTATATGCTATTTATAATAGTAGTAAAGAGATTATATACCTTCTAGTCGGCTAACTAAATACCCTATATAATACGCGCGTCTTTACCTTTACGAGTTTTAGTAAAAGATCGTAGAAGTATTTTACTTAGGGCTAGTATCTTCTTGATAATACGGCTTATATAAATACTAGCTATTTTATCGCATTATATAAGACGCTAGAAACGAAGGATAGAAATAATTATCGATTCAATAAGAAGCTATTAAGTATTCGAATGATATTAAGTATATCTTTGATATACTTAAGAAACGCTAGCCCAGTCTTATTAAACTAAGATTTATTCTTAATAATAATACGTAATATAAATACGCGGTATATTGGATCAACTGCTACTATATACTTTATAATCTTCTATTATAATACGGTGACTAGTGAGAGGAAGACGAAGGCTAATAGACTTCGAAGCAGGAGGAGGAGTATAATAATGAGTTGGCGGAGTTTACGAGTTAGTAGGGGCGTGAAAGTATCTAGAAAAGAGACTATATAAAGGGTGTTATTCTGGGAAGAAAAGCTTTAATTAGCTATATTTATCACAATTTTCTCAGACTTACCTTATACGTAAATTTCGATAGACGGCGACGACGACCCATTTATAATAGCTTGAAATAAACTTTAAATAATCGATCTTTATATTAAAGAGACCCTTTAATAAGAAGAATTAGTACCCCCGATATTATATAACCCACTCCAAATCCTGACTTTATATAAATTTTCTTCTCTGAATAAAGAAGATAGAAAGAGCGGAGAAGACGAAAGAAATTTATTAGTTACTTGATACTTGAACTAAGTATTCTCGAATAATTTATATATATAAAAAATCGATAATTAATAACGACGATCTACTTAAAATAAGTATAAACGGACTTTAAATAGTCGATCTCTATATTAAAGAGACCTATCGATAAGAAGAAATAGTACCCTCGACCTCATATAGCCCACCTCAAATCCCGACTTCTTATATAAATTTTTGTCTCTAAATAGAGAGAGTGGAGACGGCGGAGAATTTTTGAATTAAAGAAAAAAATGTAATATCTATATACTAATCGTCTTACTTTTAACCTTACTTCTAATTCTTTTAAATCTTTAATTATAGACGTAAAAGCTCTTACTATAGGTTTAATCTCTCTTAATCTTACTATAGAAGAATTATATATTATTAATTCCTTTACTTCTAATCCGCCTTAAATCGCATCTTCTAAATCTTCGCCTATATTTTTATATTCTAACGTCTTATTATATCTCTTATCTATTCTATCTTAATTATCGCATCGATAATACTACGCTATTAAGTCTTAGTCTTCTTTACTAATCGTTCTTTATCGCTTAACGAAAGCATCTTTATAGTCGATTTCGTAGGCTTTTTTTACTTTCTCTTTATCTTCGTAGCGGGGATTTTAGAGCGAGAGATTACTAATATACGCGTAATAAGATTATTCGCAGAAACGACCTTTAGCTAAGTTAATTGAATATTCTTTAATCACTGCGTATCCTTTAGTTAGTTAAATTCTTTTAACGCTTTCTTAAAGTCTAAATTTAAAAAATTATTATTTAGAGAAATCTTCTAAACATCTTTAGCCGATAACTTATCTCACTCAATTAATATATTATCTTTATTATTATTTATTATAGTATTCTTCTCTTTATTAATAAGCTTCGAATTCGCATAATTAGACTATTTAGATTCGCTTAAAAAAGCGCCGCAACGTTAGGATTAGTATTGAAGAGGGCTTCGAAGTAATAGTATCATGCGTAGTACTTAAGAAGAACTAACTTGATAGTCTTAGTTCCAG